AAAAATGAGCACTCACCGCAATATCGAACACCGCTCAGGCACCTCCGTCCAATGCAAAGCATTCCCACAAGAGCACGAAGAACGCAGACGCACCGGAATCCAAACGTCATATAACGCGAAAACCAATACATACACATCCACCCACTCACTCACTCACTCACTCACTCACCACTCACTCTACGCCCCAACCCCCTTCACCGCACCAGCCTTCACCCCCTTCTTCCCCTTCGCCTTCTTCTTCATCTTCCTCCCGCCCCTCGCACCCGCTTCGCCCTGCCCATCGTCCTCCCAATCCGCATCGTCGCCCTCCAGGCCCGTCTCCGCGAGCCACACGACCGCGCTCGTCGCGAGCGCCGCAAGGCCGCCGACGACGTGCCCGAGCACGGCGCCGTAGGCGGGGGTGAGCGGGTACGCCTGCGCGAACACGGATCGCTCGTTGAGTAGGCGAGAAAGAGAGAATTGCGCGCGCGACGACGACGACGACGTACCTGCCACGGCCGGTCCCAGTCGAGCCCGATCGGGACGACGCCCGCCCATGCGCCGAGGAAGGCGCCGATGTACGGGTAGACGAGTGCGCGCTCGGAGGGATTGCGCGGGCTGTTTCGATTCGTTTCGTTCGGCGGGAGTCAGTCAGCTTAGATATCTCATTGCGCGGGAGGAGAAGAGCACGCACGAGAGCTCGGCGAAGAGCCGCACCCAGGTGTTGTCGAGCACGAGCGACTCTTTGTGTTCGCGCTTGATGAGCGGGAGCGGGAGCGGGGCGAGCGAGGGGAGGCCGAGGGCGTAGGCGGGCGCGAAGAAGACGAGGATGGAGAGCAGGAGCGAGAGCAGGAAGGAGTGGGCGAGGTGGCTGGAAGGCGGTCAATATCAATATGTCTGCGCTCCGTTGACTGTTGGATGGAGGGAAATACGCACGTCGTCAAAGGCGCCCCGAAGAGCGTGACTACTACGTGGATCGCGAGTGCCGCGTAGAGCGTGAACAGCCACGCATTGTACAGGTCCTTCAGCCCGGTGGCCAATTCAGCGACGATGCGCGAGAGAGAAAGAAAGAAAGAAAGAAAGAGAGAAAGAGAAAAAGAGAGAAAGAAAGAACACGCACCTTTCCCTTGCCCTCCCGCGCCATCTTCGCCTCGACGCCCTTCCCGCCCATCGTGCCCTCGCGCACCCACATGCGCATCCATCCCGCCCACCAGCCAACCGCGCCCGCCGCGCCGAGCACGGCCCACGCGAGCGTGAGCAGCGGCTGCGCGGTGATCGGGTCGAGGAACGCGTACTGCGGCTTGTCGAGCCCGCGCGCGAGCGGGGGTGCTGGGGGGAGGAAGGGGAGCAGTCCGCTGGTGGTGGGCAGGAGAAGGAGCGAGGCGGGCAGGATGAGCGTGTGGATGAGGAGGAGCGGGGGGTATTGCAGCGGGATGGTGTGCAGGGCGGGCGCGGAGACGGTCGAGGTGGTGGTCGCCATGGTGGACCTTTTTTGGTGGTGGGGACGAAGGTGGATTAGAGAATGTAAAGAAATGTGGGTTCTAGTACTAGTGTAGCATTCGAATGGTTGGTTGCAGGTGGAGGAGGCAATGTCCGAGTTATTCCGCTGACTTTGGCCGCAGCGCGTGTGCCCGGGGCGGCGGGTTGCGGCGGGCGACGACTTGTCATCTACCATCGCGGTAGCAAGCTCGTCTTTTCTCCTGATACACGACATGGTCCTGACCCTTTTCTCTCTTCATGGGTCGTTTGAGAATTGTTCAATTTCTGGGATTTTACCAACTATATGTTCGGGTGAGACTTACATTATCAATGCCTCCCGTTGAGCAAGTACCAGGCGGTTGGACAAGGATCGACGAGTCTAGCATCGCACTACCAGCTGCAGTAAGCATCTTTGTATGTTTCATCGTTCCTGACGACTTGTATCAGGATCTGCCCGTATTGGCTTCAACCAAGTCGCAGATCCGCTGCGACCTCTCCGCCCTCGACATTAAAGCTCGAGCTCATGGTCGTCACACCGGTAAGGATCACTCTCTTCCATTGTATCTGAACGAATCATCTAGGGGTTTCTTCATCAAATCGTCTGCGACTCCCAGCTAGATCGTAAATGCAGAATGTTGCAGAACTCGGCTGCATTGTCAACGAAAGTCCGCATGTACGCGTAAGGACCGACATTTCCTGCCACTGCCGAATAATATTAACGCCATAGTCTCGAAGCTATCACTACATTGGCATCGCTTGCAGGACATGCAGGCTTCCCGCACAGCACGTATGCAAATCCACAGCGAGACTGCGCAGCCATCCCTGCTCCTGGATGCATATGCTTCTAGCCAGGCTCATACTGGCGTCTTCCCCCGCGGAAGCATTCATCCAAGGACCACCTGATACCCACAGCCAGCAGCCGTGTCATTTTCCTACTTATCTCTGGGCGCAAGCTGTCCTCGGATCCAGGCGCCGACGCACACCGCACACCGTAGTCGTGGCTTCTACCTAGGACAACTGATCCAGCCCGATAACACACTCCCTTCCTCCCTCTCCCTCACCCTCACCCTCACCCTCACCCTCACCCTCACCCTCACCCTCACCCTCACCCTCACCCTCTCTCTTCCCTCTCTTTCCCTCTCTCACTGCAGTTCCTCTGCGAACCAACTCGAAGATCGAGAGACAATGGCATCGCATGCGGCGTTCGCGCTCGACATCGGCAGCCAGCTCGCGTCCGTGGTGCCGCTCAACGGGCTCGGACTCCAGGGACTCTTCGACATCGCGAAGCAGATCGTCGAGCTGCTCGAGGTGCGCCTTGTTCCTCTCCTCTCCTCTCCTCCCCTCCCCTCTCCTCCCATCGTGTTCCTTCCGGCCGGTTGCGACTCGGATGCCAATTGCTCACTTGCATCGGCACGTGCAGAAAGTCAAAGCAGACAAGACCGCATGCGCCGTGCTCGCGAAGAAGGCCGCGGAGCTCGTCGTGCACGTTACGACGGTCGCAGACGCGCGGCGCCGTGGCGGCGCCGCATCGGCGGGGATGCAGGCGAACGTGACGAGTCTGAAGACGTGAGTCTGTCGTCCTCAGGCTTCCGCCACCACCCATCGTCTGCCGACTCAAGATCGATGTTGAGGGGGACGATATTGATAATCACACGTCGCACAGCACACTCCAGGATATCGAGCACAAACTGCAGACGATCGTGCAGAGCAAGACGCTCAAGCGCATCCTGCACCGCGCGCGCAACGCAGACACGCTCAAAGAGTGCACAGCCGCGCTCGACGACGCATGGCGCAAATTCGACGTGTGTCCGCGTTCGCTTCTACGTTCTTGACGGCAAACTGACACATGCGCTGATGGTGTGTATGGTATTGGGGACGCGCAGACGACGGCGCTGCTGCTGATCCAGCAGACGCAGGACGAAATCATGGCGCGGCAGGACTACGACGAGACGGTACGTTTGCACGTGCGGTTTTATTCAGGAGCATGGTGCTGATGCACGCCGGCGCGCTGCAGCACCGCCTCTTCCGCCTGTGCGACATCCGCGTGCGCAAGTTCCTCGGCCCGTCTGCAACAAACAGCATCCTCGAGGAGGAGATCGGCGAGCTGTGCACGATGGGTGCGCTCGTGAAGGTGTGCAAGCTGCGGCCGGGCGCGGATTTGGCGGTGAGTCTTGCTTGGGACTCGGATTGAGAGAGACTGATGGCCGGATTGGATTGGGTGTAGGCATTTTGGAGGCATCTGCAGAGGGTGAAAAATGTGAGGTCAGTATTTTGTGATGTACTGTAGCTATGTCATGATCATCCATTGCTTATAATTAATGATGCCGGGTTTTTACTACAGGCATCCTCAGTTCCCCCATCTCCTAGGGTACAGCACCCATTCCTCCAAGATCCCCTTCTATGTCTCTGCACCTCGTATGTCATATCAACATACTATGCCCATGCATGAAAATGCCAGCTGAAGCTTGATGGTATGATGTCTCCATAGTGACAGCTGGCCCTTTCATGAGATACCTGGAGGATTCATACCGGTCTATCAAGAGTATACCATTCAGCCAGGAAGATGAACCTTCTGGTCTGGCAGCAGACCTGCAGTTCAAGCTGACTGTGTTCAAATTGGTGTGTGGCACCTCCCTTGCAGTTGTGTTCCTCTGCCTCTTTGTGCTGATGCCATTTTTTTTTTCTTCAAGGTGGATCAGATTGAGGTGAGGGTCTGCCAGTGTGGCTTGTAGATCTTGAGCTAATGGGCAAATGGATCACACAGAGTGTCCTGCATTTTCTGTTCTGCTCTAAAGGCAAGGGGAAGGTCCCTTACAGCCTTGTCTTGGAGGTATGTTCTTCTGGCTGCCTTGCATTGGCAGATTTACTTCAAACCTGTCTGACTGTGCTTTCTGGCCAGCTCTTACATGCAGCATCAACCACCTCCTTCCACCATGACCATTCTTCCATCATCATGCAACCAGAATGCATCAGCACAGACTTTGTACCTGAAGGTGGGTCTCCCTCACATCCTCTCATCTCATCATGTTCTGGGCTGAGCAGCTAAAATTGACATGTGGCAGAACATGGTTCTCAAGATAGCCATGGTGTCAATGAAGAAGATGAAGAGCCTGGGCTCCTGTGGCTCACACACTGGGACTGCATGACATGCAGCAGGAACACCCAGGCCAACAATACTAATGAGGTCCTCCAGGACTGGGAGCACAGCCACAGCATAGGGTCTATCTATTTCACACTGTTCTCTATGATTTTCTTTGATATTTCTGCTCTGGACACTCATCAGGGATCATTGTCTGTGTTGGGCTCTTTGCCTGGCTTTACAAGACTTGGTCTTGAGGATGAGGATGGTGATGATTACTGATTGGGCATGTATCTTGTATCTTGGACTCTGTTCTGCTCTCTTCCTTATTATGTTTTGTAGTATCTCACAATTATGACACATTTATGCATTCTGTAATTATAATATCCAGAGAATTCATTGTACACCGTGGCCCGAGTACCACGTGGGTGCATGTGCAGCATAATGCAGAAAAAGAAAAAGAAGACCCCACCGTGATTTGAACACGGGACCCTGCGATGGATGGGATTGCATTGCTGCAATCGCATGCTCTAACCACTGAGCTATGGAGTCATGTCTGTAACGTATTCGAGTCTGGATATATCCCCCTGCTGCACGATGTCGACATTCTCGCTGGCGAGTGTGTTACTGGGACCTCGACGCCCGCCGTATATGTACACGATCGCGATGCTGCTACAACGCAAGCAAGCGCAACGTGACACTCGAGCACCCAACGCATGATACTCGTACACCCGCCAAAGATAGATAGCAAATTATAAAAATACAGTACCGATACACACCATCACATACAGCATCCCCGGGCCCATCGCGCGCGCACCATATACCACCCTCCAGCTACCGCCGCACATCAACCCCAACAGCCCTCACCCCGTCCTCCTCCTCCTCCTCATACTCATCAAGCGCCAACTCCGGCACCTCCCCATCCTCATCATACCCGTACCCGTACCCGCACTCCTCATCCCCAAACTCATCGTCCCCAAACTCACTCTCATCGTCCAACACACACGCCTGCACGGCCCCGACAAGCCCCTCCCCGCCGCCCTCGACTTCCTTCACCCACTTCACCTCCGCCGCTTGCATCCCGTCGTCCCACTCCCACTCGTCCGTCTCGTCGCCTTCGCCTTCTACCGCCGGGTCGAATGCGTGCTCGAGGTACGGGTATCTATCAACGCATGTCAGGATGGCTGTGAAGAGGATGGATAGAGGGAGGGAAGAAGCGAGGAGACGGGACGCACGTATGGTCGCCGAGGACGCCGCGGTGCCGGCCTGCGCGGAGCGCATCAACGTAGGCGGGCGCGGTGGTGCGCAGTGTGCGATAGTGCGCCGCTGCGACGCTCGCTTCGGCGCGGCCGCGGGGGAGTCTGTGTGCCCGTATCAGTATTAGCACGTGCATGAGCGCGGGGGAGAAGATTCAGAGACGGGGAAACGAGGCTTCGGGGTGGGGGAGTGAGACTCGAAAGGAAGAGAAGAGGAGGAAGAGGAGGAGGAGGAGGAGGAGGAAGAGGAGAGGAGGAGAAGGAGGATATCAGACCAGAGGAACAGCACTTACATATCCGCCAGCACGCGATTCACATCCAGCAGCGTGCACCCGTCCGGATTGCGCACGCTCGCGACGACGACCGCGCGCGGGCCCTCGCCGCGCACGGGCGGGCGCACGAACGCGAGCGCGCGGACGGGCGGGCGCGTCGCGAGCGCGCACGCCGCGGGCGCGTGCGCGGCGAGCGGGGCGTACAGGTGCCGCGTGCAGTCCGGGTACGTCGGCAGGAGCGTGCTGAGCACCGCGCCGCGGTCCGGCGTGCGCGCGGGCGCGGAGAAGTGCAGGTAGAAGTAGAGCGGGTGCAGGTCCTGCGTTGGGGGTGGAGCCGAAGTGGGGGACGTCGGGGCGTGGGCGTGGGGGAGTTCGGCTGCGGGGGAAGGGTGGGGGTAAGTAGGTGGAGGAGGGTGAGTTGTGGGGTGATCGGGTGGGGTAAGGAAAGGACGTACTGGACCAGACGCATGCGTCGCGGCACGAGCGGATCTCGCACACGCGGCGGTGCGCGACGACGCGGCGCGCGATGTCCTTCCAGCTGGGCACGGGCGCGTCGCGCGCACGCACGAGCGGGCGGCCGAGCCCCGCGCGCGCGCACGCGGCGCGCCAGAAGCGGTGCTCCGCGGCGGGCGAGGGGAAGGCGTAGAGCGCGGCGAGCGCGCGGGCGGTCTGCGCGAGCGCGAGGTGCGCGGCGAGCGCGGGGAGCGGGTCCGTGCCGGGCGCGGGCGGGAGGGCGAGGGTGTCGCGGACGGCGAGGAGGACGTCGGCGGGGAGGGCGAGGAGGGAGAGCATGGCGGGGATGAGTGGGATCTTGAGCGAGTGCGGCTGGACGGGGTTATTATAGGATGCGGCGGGACGGGGGACAGCATGTTTGTGGGATCAGAGGCGGACGCAGGCGCAGGCCCAGCGGCGAAAGCCCCGGGCGTTCCTCGGACCTGCCCTCCCGTGACCCCCTTTCCCACCCGCACCCAGGGGCCGCACCTGCCTATTCCGGCGCCGCGTCCGGCCGCTGCACGATTCTTCGTCTCGCCGCCGCGCCGCCGACACTGACGAGACGAGACGACCCACCCCCGCCACGCCATGTTCCCCTCGCTGCCCACCCTCAGCGCCGCCGCGCGCGTGCTCACGGGCCCGTTCAAGCGCGCCCAGCAGGGCCTCTACCACGGCGCGATGAAGCAGTACGGCAACAACGTGCCCTTCTCCAAGCACAAGACACGCCGCACCTGGCTGCCCAACGTCCACTCGAAGCGCCTCTTCTCGGACGCACTCGGCGTGAACGTGCGCGTCAAGCTGTCCACCCGCGCGCTCAAGACCATCAACAAGGTGCGTCGTGCGTGTCCTGCGAGGCTGATCCACCCGGTGCTGAAATTAGGGTCTGGTGTGGTGCGTGCAGTACGGCAGCTTCGACCAGTACGTCCTGCAGACCAAGTCGGAGCTCCTCGGCTGGGAGGGCATGCGGCTGCGCATGCTCGTGCGCGAGGCTCTCGAGCGCAAGGCGCGGGCGGAACCCCTCGCCTCGCCGCCATCATCATCATCACCATAGCACACGCGCGCAGTATGGTATGTGCGCCCCGTCGCTCCCACCGCATTTCCTCACAGATGTCCAGGCTCCCCGGGCCGCTCCTCCCCCTTCACATATCGATACGCCCTCCTGTAATCCCGCGATATAGATCTCTGTTCATCTGCATCTCCCTCCGTCGTTTTTTCGTTCAGGTGCCAAGCGCCGTGTGCCGCACGCCCGTGCTGGGTTTCCTCTTGCGGCGCCAGCCCGGTATCGAGCACCGTCGAACGCCCACGGCTTTTCGCGCTGTCACCAGTGTCAGAGTCAGACCCTGGCTTCGCCCCCGCCGCCCCCGGATCTTCATGCATCATGCTTCGCGTCTGCACCCATAACGTGGTTCGCGAAGCGCGGCGTAGGTAAGGGCGTCGCAAACGCCGTCGCAGCTGCCCAAACTGCTTCTCAGCTGCCCAAACTGCTTCTCAGCTGCCCAAAACTGCTTCCCAGCTGCCCAAAACTGCTTCTCAGCTGCCCAAAATGCTTCTCAGGCCCCACGTCTCCTGCCTTATGTGTCCGCGCGTTCCCCGATCCCGTCACACATGACAGGCAGCTCGGGCTCAGAGCTGCGCTGTTACTTATCTGGTCCTGCGACGCGGAGGTTGCTGTTGGGTCCGGATCTTTGCTTTGCTCTGCTTCGTGGGTGAGCGGTCAGCGATAGGCGTACGTGTTACGACTGGATTGTGTTGCGAGCTTGACCTTGCAACGGATGGGTGTGTATGACTCACGACCGTGCATCAGTCTACGGGTACGGTAGGCTGGACCCCGGATTTGCGCGCCAGGTATCTTGGCGGTCGCGGAGGGACTGCAATCGCGAGCTTGACGTGGCGTCGCGGAAAGAGTAATGCAGCTCCAATGCGTCCGCTCCTCCGTGCGCATTTCTGCCTCGCACGCGTCTCCGGGAGCTAAAGCTACAGTAACAGGTCTTGCTAGATCTAGAGTGGCTTTTCGAGTCTTTGTGCTTAGCCTTAGCCTGGCGTCGGGCCAGCGTCGGGCGACCCGGCTTCGGACGTCACAGTACTCGAGTACTAGTCACCGCCGATTGTGGCGAGCACGAGATCTAGCGCGGGTATGATATATATCTGCGCCCCAATCGAGCGATGCGCGCGCCCCTTTGGCATCCGACGCACGACGCACGACGCACGACGTAAGTACGCGTGACGTCTTGATCCCGCCCACGCATCCGGACCCATATACGCACCTGATATACCTACCGGACCCCCGCCGGCGACTGCACTCGTACGTAACGACTCGAACGCGTTCTAGATCCCCCGCTCGTTAACGTTGACGTTCACGGTCATTTTGCAGTAACCTTCGAGATCGTTTTTCGAGCGGCCCCGAGGCGGGCATGAGGTTAAATTTTGGTTTGGACCGGCGGAGCTGGGGGTTTGGATGGACGGGTGCTCGACGTCAGCGTTGACGTTAACGGTTAACGGTTAACATCGATGTCGATGTCGATGTCAAGTGCCGATGCGGGGTAGCGCGTCTCCTTCGATGTCTTCGACGACTTCGATATCGACGTCGAGGCCAAACAACAAAAAAAGTACTAGCAACTGGCCCTATACGCCAATTGCACCCGCCCCGTCTCCAAGCTCAAGCTCAAGCTCAGCCTCAAAATCCAGTCAACGCATACACGTCCTGATCCCGACGCCCTACACGCCCGCCGTGTTCTGTAGCCGCATCATCACCTGCAGCTGCGCACCCGACCTACACCCAATCCCAAAGCGGCCATCTACACCTCCCCGGCCCGCCGCAGCGCTCTGCTTCCCACCGCAGTCGCGTGCCCCGCGCGGTACGTAACATCTGTAGTCTGCAGGTTTCATTTGCTGACTCCCACCTGTAGACCCCACCCGTGAAGTGCGCTCTATCGTGGATCATACAGTGTTTCTCGGGCCGCTCCGAGGACAGGTCACAGCGGAGGTCCCGTCGAGCATGAGCCGGCGGGGCTCGGTATCACATTGGAACGAACGGACGCTCGAGAGCTGGGAAGGTAAGTGTGGGGAAGCTACATGCGTCACGGTACCCCGCATCTTCGCCTTCTCGAGCTTCGACATCGTACGAGTCGCGCGTAACGCGTAAAGAGCCTAAGCTCCGTGCGCCCGTAAGTATGTAATATTACTGCGCTCGTGCTTTATGTACGAGTATTGACACCGTGGGCGTTGCGACGTTAGGCTGCCGCATTGGTGTGGGTTATAGTGCTGCTGCTTAGTGAATGCAGACGCGGGCGATCGCGAGACCAGATCTAGAGGAGATTCAGACGCGTGCGTCGCCCGGATCATAGCGCTAGCGTCTACTTCTATATCTATGTGTACTCACACCTCTGCCAGAAGGGGCATCTCGCGCGCGTGTACCCACGCGTGCATATGCGTTGTGCACTAGCGTACGTACAACCCATCCATCCACTCGTCCACCTATTCATCCATACCCCCATCCATCCCGAAGCTTCCACCCCGATGCCCGATGCGCCCA